TTTAGATTTTCAACCCATACCGCAGTGACAATTTACTGTTTTGCCATTTTTCACAAAAATTCAAATTTACCCGAATTTTACAATTTTGTAGCTAATCCTAACTCTCTTCTTCGCCATTTTAGGTTTAGGCTAATCATTTTTAACAACGATTCCCTATCCCTTTTCCAATTTCATTTTTATTGTGATAGGTTGGGATTCCTTATAAATGAAGACATCAGTTGGGCATTACTACAATAAAAGGCTCTCTTTTAAGAGTTTTATAACATTTTCTTAGGGGACTAAAAAAAAAATTTAGGACCATTAAAAATTGGGGCCCTAGGTAGGCATTAATGTCCTAGCCCTAGGGCCAACCTTGATTGGAGGTGGTGATAGCAATTTTGTCATTGAAATAAAGAAGAAGAAAAAGAAGAGAGGAAGATAGTGAGGATAGGAATTGCCATCAACAGTATTAGTAATTCATTTTAGTCCAAACTTCTATGAGTGTCATGTGCTTATTTTTGAACTCTTGGTGCTGAAGTGCTTGATGATCGTTGGAAACCCACAATAAATAGATTGCAATATTAAGAAGTGGGTATTCTTATGTGCAAAGTGAATCCCATATGGTTAAATGACTTGAATTACGTTAAAAGGCAAGAGAAGCACAAAGGTTCTAGTACGCACAGGAATCGCACATGTGTGCGCGATATGGACTATAAGGCCCTAGTGGTGCTTTTCAAGCGCACTTGGCCATGACACATGGTGCATGTAAAGCATGTGACATGTGTGATCAAAATCATGTGGTGGATGATCAATTTTTTATTTTGCTTCTGTCCACACCAAATCACACACATTGTCTACATGTTTATGAATAGTCATGACTATTAAAATTTAATAGTTTCGTAATTAACTAATTTTTGAAAATTAGATTAATTTAAATTTCAAGTGTTGTGATTTTTCATTGGTAACTATTCTTGGTACCTATATATATGCCAACTATTCGTATTAGGGATGACAGTGGACCGGGGCGGAAACACGGGCGCGAGGAGTAGTCTCCACCCCCATACTAGCTTATAAAACTTTCGTCTATCTCCGATTTATCCCCGTTAATGGGGGAAGTTTTAATCTCTGTCTCCTCCCCGTGGGTAAATTCTAATCTCCCTCTTCCTCCCCACACCGCTCCGTTCACCACACTAGATATAATATTCTGTCAATAACATATTTCTCAATAATATGACCAATTAGGTTCATTTCATATATAAATATTAAAAAAAGAGAGAGATTCATTTCATAGTCACTGATTAATGACATGAGCTAAAATTCATTAGTTGAATCTATTATAAGCATCACAATAGTCATTAGACTATCATACTCAAGTTAATTTTTTTGAGAAATATACTCAAGTTAATTGACTCGATTCTAATTTTGAGAAATTACTCTTACTTTTGTGAAGGGAATATGGTATATAAATGTGTAAAAGGATATAATTTTCTTTCTTAATATTATATATATAGCGGGACGAGGGTAAGTGTCGGTCCATCCCCATCTCTATCCCCGCATGAGAGTATACGAGTATCCTCATATACGTCCACCGTCCAATACGTATGGTTCATATGAAGTGTAAACCAGATGGATTTAGAGAAATCCCCACTTTTTCCTAGTCCATTGTCATTCCTAATTCGTACCTATATAAATAGTTTAGAGGGGGGGGGGGGGGAGGAAGAATTACTATTTGTTGAAATTTATATAACTTTGTTAAATCTTGGAAGTGGATTTGCCATTTTAAAGAAAGCAATCTTACACGTCTCAAAGCCTGTAATTTATTTCGTTTTTACAGTATCGCAAACTTAATTTTTGAACACAGACCATAAAAAGCTAAAAGAAGTTAACCATTTGAGCAATTCTATTTAGATCTAATTTATAAGTATAATTTCTTGACCTAATTAATTTGAACCATTCGATTGACAGTGGGCCGAAATACTAGTTAAGACCCACCACCCATCCAAAGAATATGCTAGATTAAGTAAATAAATTAAATCATTAAATTAAGTCCTAATAATATTAGGATTGAGTCAATTTAGATTAGTTGACATACTGCAAACATAAGGTAGTGAAAGAATCTAAGTCATGAGGGATGAAATGATTCATTACTCATGAATTCTTTAGTCACGACGTAGGCGACCTGTCTTTGATAGGGCCGAAGAGAGAATTAGTTGAAGTGTGCGTAAGTTGGCCCAAACACATTTGACCATTGAAAAAAAAAATCTAGGTTCAAATTTTATAAGTTTGGAAATGAATTAGTCAGCATATACAAGTTGCCGGGGAAGAAGGATTTCTTTGCTGCAGGCCTGCAACCGTCCAAAGGTGCAATGTTTTTAATATCTTCTTTAAAACTTAATGAAAAAGTTCGAATCATATTGTCTCTGCAGAATGTATTAGACAGACCCTAGGATAGATCATAAAAACAATAATTTTTTTGAGTTATACTGATTTGGGGGTGAAGTTACAATGCTTTGGGATGGTTTGTAATTGATCCTAATATTGATTCCAAAGCATTGGTATTGATTTCAAACACTTTTAAAAATTATAAGTTAACCCCAGAAGTTAAAATTCTTGAGGTATGAAAAAAATACTTTTTGATAACCTAGACAAGAGGGGGGGCCGGGTTGCTTTTGGGCTTGTTCAAATGGTTTTGGTGCAAAATAAATTCAATCTATTTTTAACTCGTTTAATAAACGGATTATAATGAGTTAGATCATAACGAGTTATGTTAAAAATTCATTAATTTGTAAAATAATTAAAACTCTTAATATACATATACATACTAATACACTAAAAAAACATACAATAATACACTAAAAATATACACACTAATACACTAAAAATACACACGCACATACTAACATATAAAAAACATAACACATTTAAATATAAAAAACAATACCAAAAACACACACAGGGTCAGGGTCAGGGTCCGGTGTCGGGATTTGGGTCATGGGTTAATAAAGAGCAGTAAGTCCGAAAATTCAGTGCAATTTCTCTCACCCACCCACATACACCCCAAAAACACGCACAAGCGTCCACAAGACAGGCATGGGCTTACCAGTTCTTTAAGAGCGGACAAGAGCCCTGCATAGGGTTTTGTTTTTAATGTGGCAGTGACCTGGACACGGTCAACGTCGAATTCTTTTAGGTGATCAGAATAGATACTATAAGAAAATAATGGATAGTTGATATTCGTTAGGTCTATAAGTTCAATAACCTGTAGCAGAGCAGAGCAGAGCTAAGCAAAGCGGAGTGACAACGCTGGTGGAGGCATTAGCCCCCGTGATACGGTTCGAGTTTATTGTGAATTTCTAAATGTGTATCTGATAAATGAGTTTTAGATATAAATCAATTGTATCACATAATTGCTTTCATACACGTGGTTATAAGTCTATCGAACCACATAAATCATGACATTTGTTTTGTTCTTGATTTTCTTTCTCGTTTGATTGTTAAGTCACGTTCATGACAAACACCATACGAGGTCAGAAGACAGCGCAGCCGAAGCACCAAATTTTGCTGCAAATACAAGACACAGTCAATGTATAGCTATAGCCAGCCCCAAGTTGCTAACAAAACTGGCCCATAACAGCTCATTAATTAACACATACTCTTGCCTGCTATCTGTTTGTAATTTTTACACCGATTTAATCATCAGTCAGCTGCTTTGTTGATTACTAAATACATACAATTTAAAACATGAAAGCACAATAAATCAATAATCTACGACCACCCGTCGTATTTAGGCTCCTCTCTTATATGAATAATGAGAATAATAATAGAATCAAAAAAGAATTAACATATTCTCATTATGAACTTAGCAGGGCTAATGTCTGGATGTTTATATGTGGACAAAGCTATAGTGAATTGACTAATCTTGATTTTTTTTTTAAAAAAAAAACAAATAAAATTGATTAAGCCTTACAACGCACCCAAAAGATAGTTACACCCCGGCATCTTAAGTATCAAATTTTTTTTTTTTTATCAGGGTGGTTGTTGGACACTCTTCCTTACTCCCACCCCTTTTTTAACCAGCAAAAAAAAAAAAAAAATAAGTATCAACTTTTTAATCATTTTTTTCATGTACTTTTTTATTTTTTTTAGTTGTTTTTAAAATTATTTGTTTGTATATTTGTTTTTTTGGCTGATCCAGAGTTGATCTATCCTCCTAGCTTACGATTCATATATCAATTGTCTTTCTGAAACACTAATCAAATATGTGTTTAGTTTTATGATAAATTATTATTCTTTTTGCTAAGAAGAACTTACGTAAAAATTGTTATCTATATAATGTTACATTAAGAAGACATAGCCTCACTCTACCTTCGGACCCCTTTCTTCCACCAAATGAACCATAGATACTAGGATCGATTCGTAATTCAGATCACTCAAATTGCTAACACAAAACCTAAATTGACTTATAATAATCCCAAATCATGACTCTTCCTATATTATTTCTAGACGTTTATTAGACTCATAATAGAAATATACAACCACTAACCGTTATTATCTACAACCATTTGCCGGTAAATTATTATAATCCTTTTTCAGATTATATAAAACAAGTATAAGTTAACTATATTGATGTAAACGTGTACATTGCACTACTTATCAGGAGAAGTATCCTATTGTGTACCTGTATTACATCAAATCGACTCACAATCCAAATCATATTTATATCAAATATGATTTTTTTACTATCACCCACAAAGAAAAGAAAAAGGAAATAAATTAGTGAAAGATTCATTCTATATTAATTGGTCTCACATAGTGGCATGGGATAGGATTGTTGAGTGAAACATCCTAACCTCCTTGTCACCGTTCAGCCTATGCCTTCCAAGTGGCGTTTAAGCTAAAAAAAACCAAAAAAAAAACAGCACGCTGCTTCTTTAAATCACACTGAGACCTTCATTCACTTACATCAAAACAGGCTGTCTCTTGGAAGGTTGCAACTTCTCTCAAAACTTCTAAAGCCTCAAATGGCAGACAACTCCACTTCTCCCCCTTCAAACACCACATGGTGGCCTGGAGATGATACATCCATTGCGGAAACTTACTCATCAAGACGTTCATCAGTCGCTGAGTACTCAGTTCGGAGTGACAGCATCATAACACTGCCAATCCAAGGCTCAGAGACACCAACCACGCGAGCAAATATGGCCGGAGCATCAGGAGGGTCAACCCCAGAAGTGAGGCATAAGATAGAGAGTGCATCGCCGGAGACGGCACGTCACATTGCGATGAGAATGTATAAGAGCTTGAGAAGACATGGGTTGAAAGATGAAGTCGGACAGGCGTTTACGAGAGATGAACCAGAGATAGAAGAGGTGAAGGAAGATGATGCGACTGGGATGAGGAAGAAGAGTGAGGAGCTTATGGGGATGGAGTATCTATTGAGAGACGGTTTTGTTAGTTATCTTCGTGATGTTGCAAGAATCACTCCTCCTATTCCTCAACAGGTTGGTTAACTCTCCTCTATTTTGTATGGTAAGCCAAAGGGAAAGAATTTGTTGAACACCGTATACTTTAAAAGTTTAAATTGATAAGTATTTATCTAATACTGAACTCACTTGTGAGCCGTCTTAGGGCGTTCGTCTATACTCACCAAAAACGAGATCAAATAACGTGATGTTATAAAAATAATATTTTTGGTATCGCTTTCATTCATCTAAGTTTTAAGCTTTATTTATTATGTGAGTTACCAAATCTTTAGTGTTGTATATCATTTGATAGAGTAATGCTACATTGACCAAATTTTAGGATCAAATTTGACGTCCAAATGACATGACAGCTGAATATTTATAGTTTTTATTGGAGCCAAATGACATGACACCAAATAATCCACGTGAGGAATGAAGTTTTCGGAACTAACCAATTACCAGGGTGCAAAATCTTAGAGATCACTCCATCAAGGAGAGAGAAATTACTGTTCAAAACCGTAAAGTTTTCAAAAACTTTGGCCCTTTAGATCACAACATAGTTCCATCCTTGCTTTTGTTAAAAGTAAAAATAAAGAGACTAACTTGTTCAAGAATGTATTGAGAGAAATCTAGGAATGGTTTGCTTTATCCCTTCTCTATTCATGCTTGTTTGGTTCAATAAATTGAGAATATTGAACAAGTACTATAGACCTAACATTAAACATAAAGTAGATGCCCTACGATTCAAATCCACAACCGGATTGTCACCCCCATTAGTGCTATTTTCAAATTATTCATTCTCTTTGAACTTACTTATAATTGGGAAAGAGGTTTTTTTTTTGCAACATAAAACGTTATTAGTTTGTCTGCATGTGTATATTTCGTTTTTGATACCGGGGGAGAAGACATGTTACATGTTCAAACAATACTTGCACTAGCTTAGAATTCTCATTTTGAATTATGTTTTACACGTGTTTAGAGACAAATCTTGTAACAGTTTTAAACTCTCTTCTCTTATGTGGGTTGTGTTACGAGTGTCTAGAAACAAATCTTGTAACGACTTTACACGACCTTCTTTTTACACGGGTATTACTCAATTTGATCCTATAAATTAAGTGTGTGTAGGGTGAGATAGACTAGTATACACACATTATTTGATATTACTTGCATAAAGTAGATAGACTTGGATTCGGATTCCACAACCTAATTGTCGTTGCACAGACATTTTAGATGTTACATGTTCAGAAGATCACTTTACACAAGCTTAGAATTCTTACTTTGAAGTATGTTTTAGGTAATAGCTAAACATCTATGATATGTAATAATCAAACATGAGGCAAAGTCATTCCCATACATTACCAATTACACCATGTATTGAGATCCTCAAACATATGGTGATCTTTGACTTTGTACAAACAGTAGACGCAACTGCAAACGAAAATGGGAGATAACAGTTACGTCATGTATGCCGGCCCATGTCCCCCGGTGGTAAATAGGACAGAAGTATCCTCTAAAATAATTAAAATAAATTCATCCTTATTAAACAATCATCTACTCTAAAAGTTTAAATTATTCGAAAGAGTATAACTTCAGTATTTATATTTCGACAGCTCCGAAAAGAAAAACAGAATAAAAAAAATAAATGAAACGTACATATTATGTAATGTAAAAAAAAAAAAATTGTAATGTGAACATGAAATTATTTACACAGGCTAGTCATAAAGTAGTATGGGATCTTGGTTATGGCTTGGCCGGACCTCTTCATTTTGTCATTTTCTGAACCTGATTGTGATACAGTTTTCTAATGCCTCGTGTTTGAATGTGTGTGTTGTTTATTAAAAGAAAGATTCAACTTTCTATTATACTATAATTTTTTTTAATATTTCTATCAAATAAGTTTAATAATTGTTGACTCTTATGAAGGAGATGACAATGGAATTATTTCTGAGATGTCGATTTGGAGAATCCAGATGAACTCTTGCATGTTGGATTTACACGATCTCTCTTCAAAATTACAGTACTTACCCCTGAACTCTTTGAAAATGACACACTTACATAGCTGGAAAAAAGAGAAAAAGAAAAAAACACTGCACAACATGTCACTATGCGTTGACGCTCAGGTTTCCTAAGGTAACAAGGCAATCTAAGTGGATGTTTCCCACTCGGCGGGCCTGATAGGTGATTGTATCACACCCTTCTCAAAGGAATCGTACGTGACACTCCCGTGTTATACGGCTCCATACCGAAATCAGAACTTTCCCTTTCCTTTGACCAACAGGTCCTCAAACCCAGCAGTCCTTAAGTGGCCAAGGGCTTTCTAAGTAGAATAGCTGTTCCAATCCAACCGAGAAGCCCTAACAGAAAAAAAGTATCCCCGTAACTCCACCAACATCACATAAAAGTAGGGAGGAAGTAGTCCCTCTGATTTTTGAACTTGATGATCCATTACGGCAACGCAAGCCCATCTAAGAGGCCTCACCCGACCAGGTAGTGTTTTCAAGCCTAAAATTAAATGATCAAAAATAGAAACCAAGAAATGAAAATGAAGAGGTTAAAAGGATCAAAGATGGGATGGGGGTGTTAGAGGATCGGATTTATCAGGATGAGCCTAGTAGTTTAACCTACGACCACGGAAAATCGAAATATATACCTGACGGCTCTTAGAATTTTTGAAAAAAGTTTAGAGCTGTGAGCCTATTAAGATTAGGGAGTATTCCTACGTAACAATAGAATAATAACAGAATTTTTTCAACATTTGGGATGAATCTCCCACTCCCAACATGCACCGAAAAAAAAAAAAGACAAACCATCGTTTGTTCTGAAGATCCAACATGCACCCTATCAAGGTTTGATGATGGTAAAAACAAAAATACAGAACAGTATATATGACTAATAAACAAAGTTTCAAATTTAATAACAGATGCAATTTTTACCTTTGCAAGTGTTCTGATATCTAGCAATTTTCACACCTTAAACAACACAACCAACAAGTTTCCATTATGGAATCATCTAAGGTTATGTCTATTCATGTGTTAAAAGAACCCAAGAAACACATCTCATCACCATAATTAAGTAGCTGCATTTGTACATAAATCATTAAGGTTTCAACTCTCAGTAAAATTGTCTTACTTCTTTCCTAAAAAAGAGCAAGCACAATGTATTATCAACCTATCATATGCCCATCTTCCAAAGATTTCATAATTTCATTGAGGATGCAACGTGTTGCAGGTAGTTCGATTTTCAAATGTTCAGTACTCAAAGAAGTTTGAAATATCCGGCAACGAATACGAGACATTTGGCAATAAATTGGTGGGGTGCTTTGTTGGTCCATTCAAGGCACTGTTCCAGGAGAAGAATTCAACATGGGTGCATATTCTGAAGGGAGTGGATGGGTACCTCATGCCTGGTTCAATGACTCTTCTTTTAGGTCCTCCAGGTAGAGTTCACAGTTCCTTGAACAAGAAAAACATATACACTCCTTTTTGCATTCTATTCCAATGCTTGCCTGCAGAATAAAGGCCACTCCCAGTGCATTCTCTCTCTCTCTCTCTCTCTACTCTCACACACATACACACACACACATCCCCCAAAAAGAGAACTAGTGAAGGCAGGGTATAATTTTAAGTGTTTCCTATGGTAAAGAATTTTGCAAAAAGGCTAGTTTGGACCTTTAGGAATTGAAGGCAAGAAACTAGGATGATAGCAACATATCAAAGCTTATTGCAATAGAAAATGTGTAGGTTGTACTAAATAATTTGTCATTACAATAATCAGACATGAGGGGTTCAATGCCTAGTGGAGTAGTGCAATATTTAGACTAAATGATCAGAAGGTGGTTGTCTCGAACATGAGAACAACCACTTTAAGTCAACCCTCTATGAAGATATATGACTTCAATGCTTAAACCTGAATCACAGCAACGTTACCCTAGATTTTCGTGTGTTACTATCAGTCTAAGTTATATTAGTTTGGTGTAAGTTTGTAACAATCCATTATGGCGTTAGAAATAGTAACTTCCAAGAATTCCACAACATGGTTAGAAGCAGCTTCATTGTCATATTTCAACGCACTATTATGCAATTCCCAGTGCAATTATTTCATGTTTTTTAATGCTTTTTGCCCATTTAAATTCCTTATGCAACCGGAAAGAAAAATGAATAGAAATATCCATAGAGGAAAACTAACAGCAAGCCTATAGCTTAACCATATAGTAAGAACAAACTACAATTTTCATCAAGAGAAATAGACGTCATGAGTTGTACCGACAGGTTCGAATTAGCCAAACAAAAGTAAGGAAATAGCAGTAGCAGCAAAACCTCACTAAATGTTACCAACATTTACAGTTGCTAGATGGAGATCATGTATAAAGACCATATCCATAAAATGAAATCAAATCAAATTGTAAGCCCTAGGGTTTAAATATCAATATTTGTAGTAAATCAGCATATTTCAACATTGAAATCTCGTATAATTTGAAAGATCAATCTGAGATTGAAACCTTACATGCATTTTCTTTAAAAAAAAAATTGGAGATGAATACATCAATCATTGCACATAATACTAAATTGTTTAGAATTTAAAACTTGCTGGTACAGATGACAAATACAACAGGTCCAGCAATACCAACACAATAAATTCATCCAAACCTTCATTTCAGAATATCTAAACGAAAAACCCAAAAAACTGTCAAACCCAGGAGAGAACCTATTTTACGCTATCCTTATCGTAGGAACCACATAAAATCAATAAATTCAAAACCACCAATTAACTAATAGTGACTAACTTTTTAAATGAGATTCAAGGCAGCTTTAGTGCAGCGGCATAGATTCAAAACATAAAAAAGGGAAAAATTAGGCCTTCACCTACTCCAATGGAAAAAGAGGAGAGACTAAAAAACTAATTCCAAAATAACCAGCTACAACTAGATTCTGATAAAAATATGGTTCTGTATTTTTTTCAAGTGGGTGAGAGCTACCAATCAACATATAAACAAAAGGAGGGAAGAGATTGGATATCATCTCACAGAAAACTGACACAGCTGTGTTCTTGCAAACAAGTAAAATTTTCCCCAAAAATGACTTTCTATATACCCAATTTTTACAAGGCTCCTTTTCAGGAAAATAATTCTCTTCTATGGATATTGACCAAGTTGATCATAAATCAGTTTGCCCAATGATTTGAGGGAACTTCGTTCTTACGGGGGGCATAAGCTAATTCCAACAAATTTCTTTCAAACAAGGAGATAAACAATAGTAGCTGTTAATAGATTTTTTTTTTTTGGGAAAGCACCTTTTACTGTTAAATATTCAGTCCACCATACTCATAGAGAAAATATCAGTATCTAATGTGAAACAATTAGGCTATAAAAACAAATAAAGCAAAACGATGCGTACACTAATCTGCCAAGCCATAGGGGCACCATTGCAATGGCTGTGAAATAATGTAATGGCCAGCACTAGATGGAAAAGAAATCAATTAATTTGCTTGAAAGGGCTCTTTGATTTACCTTAATCGAGATTTCCAAGAGACCCCATCTATTTCAAATCTGCAGTTATTATAATGTAAAATATTCCATTCCCAGGAAGTAAATCTACTGATCAAATGTTGCAGGATGTGGAAAGAGCACTCTTTTAGAAATTCTTGCAGGAAGAGTAGAAGAAACTAAGAACTCAAACTTGCAAGGCATGGTGATGTACAACAACAGATATGCCTCTGAAATTCGTCTAAGTAGACTTATTGCCTATATAAGTGGCCAGCTTAACAAGTATGTGCTCTATCATTGATTGTTATTATCCACATTCATGCTGAAAAATAGAGCTATTTTCAAAGCCAGTAAAAATCAAAACTCAACCCAATAGGAATATGATGATTGTTTACTTACCCCATCTTTGAGCTTATTGACCATAAACATTGCCTAGTGGCTGCAAAACTAACCTTTGTGCTTGGGACTATCATCAACAATCCATGAACTTAATTTTGAATGCTATCAATTTATTTCTCCTTCTTGGAAACCTGCAGACACCTTCCATTTTTATCGGTTCGAGAAACACTCGAGTTCGCAAGGGATTGTACACAGGGACTTCAGCCAGAGAACTTCACTCCTCAGATGAGAAAATTTTTTGCCCATGCGCTGGTTGAGGGACAAGATCCATTTTTGGAGTATATTCTAGAAATCCTAAATCTAAAGAATATAGAGAACAAACTCGCTGGAGAAGCCATTTCTGACGTTGATTGCCAAAAGCTCACAACTGCTGAGTTAGCATTAGAAACATATTCAGTCATGCTTTACGATCAACCATTTTCCGGGTCTGATCTTGCAGCCACATATGATTTAGTGGACACTGTAAGGACCATTAGCAGGATTCAGCAATCTTCAGCAATCATGTCACTTACCCAACTATCACAGGAAGTGTTTGATCTGTTTGATAGAATCATACTTCTCAGTGATGGTCATGTTTTGTTTCAAGGCCCTCGTCAAGATGCAGTTCCTTACTTTGCCAACCATGGGTGAGTAATATAATACTTAGACAAGGAAAATGGGTAACAGTTGATCATATGTGCTGACAGTTTAACAGTGAAGATGTACTCAACATTAACCGATAATAAATCCCATTAACCGAATATGCAGGTACTTAGACAAGGAAAATGGGTAACAGTTGATCATATATGCTGACAGTTTAACAGTGAAGATGTACTCAACATTAACCGATAATAAATCCCATTAACCGAATATGCAGGTACAAGAAGCCATCGCACGTGGAGGCTGCTGAGTTTCTTGAAGATATAGCAGCTGGAGATGGTTACCAGTATATGGCACCAGACGCAACTCCTTTGGCCATAAATGAATTGGTAGAGTGCTATAGGGCTTCTGATCATCATAAAGATATAAAGAGAATTGTTGTCGGGGATGATGTGAAGCACACGTATTGGGTAGAAAGTGAGCCTGGGCTCGGCCTGTCCCTTAAAACACCATCCAAGTACCACTCCTCAACTGATGCAGAGCCAAGAAAAGAGACAGGTATAGAAGTCATCACGTCACAAAACCAATAATGTCATAGTAACCTCTATTTCATAGTTTCTTAATGACTACACATCAACTGCATCTATGAGTTATTGTTTGGTTGCAGAATTGGTTGTTGCCAAGCTCTCTACAAAAATAGGGCACTCAGGGGGGATTGCGAGCACAGGAAGGGTTCAGGTTGGAGATGTGGTCACAGCCATATCCATGACCAACGAAGAAATGCAATACCTTGCAGTGGGACCCCAAAAAATCCAGCGTGAGCATGCCTCACATGTATACTCTATGTTGAAGAAGGCACGAGGCCACATCCGTCTTCAAGTTGAACGCTACAAAGAAGAGGTAAACAAGCTTTTCACATCAGCAAAGAAACAATATAGGGAGATTGAGATGGCCTTCACTTTTGTTGCAGTTGTAGATAAGCAGACACCTGTAGTTGCAACTAAATGAAAAAGAGAAATTGCCTAGCCATTTCTTGAAAGTGGTTTTTTTGTTATTTAGGAGGAAGAGTATGAAGCACAATGGGAGCAATTCCAAAGACCTTTTGTTCAGACATGGTGCAAATCTACTAAAACTCTCATCAACAGGCAAATCAAGATCACCAAAAGGCTCCACGCTTTACTAAAGTTACGGCTATTCCAGGTTACTACGACTTGTCTCAATGTTTTCCTGATAATGTAAATCATATTATTTGTTGATATCTTCAATTTTGAGGTTATCTATCTATACACAAACACATGCATATATCTATACTATTATAAAATGTACATATAATAGAAAAACTTTTGATTGACCACAATGTCCCTACTATATAAATTAATTACCTCAAAACCAATCCGGTCAATAAATAGTTCAAGAAACTAACTTAAACCAATCAGCTCTTCCCCTCCGACAGTGTAAGTTTCTGATTTTACTCTTGTTTATTGCCCTAAAGTCAGCTAAATCCTTTTATGTCCTTTCATCTGTTTTCATTACATTGGGTTAATTAGCATCATCAACATTAATTCCCAGTGCACATCTTTCTCTATCCCTCCCTCTTTATCTGTGTATTTATGGAAGTATGCCATTTGCGAGCAAATTACAAATGCATTTTTTGCAGGCCATTGTTCTTGGCCTGTTCGCGGGGACACTGTTTTACAAACTCGGAGGTCAATATACCCAACAGCGAATGAACTCGGTGAGGGCCCTGGGGTTTGTGTCAACAATGAGCATAATGCTCATAAATCTGGTACAGCTCCCACTCTATATGCTCCAAAGGCCAATCTATTACAAGCACCGAGCACAGAGATTCTTCAGAGCTTCTTCATACACAGTTGCTCATTGCATTGTCAATCTCCCACAAACGTTCATAGAAGTAAATGCTCAACAAATTTTTCCTTAAAGAAATAGGCTTAGCTGCCCTAGAATTAAAACAGGCGGTATACCTCACAGGCACTGACTTGTATGAACATATAATGTCACAGGCACTGGCTTATACCCTCTGCGTTTATTTTCTGGCGGGTCTATCATTGGCAGGAGGTGGGGTGCCTTTCTTTGAGTACCTGCTTCTGCTGTTTTTGGTAGCATACTTTGGATCATCAGTCTTCTTCTTTCTCAGTGCCATCTCTTCAATTCCAGAAGTGGGGAATGCATTGGCAGGTATATCTGCTTTTTGAAATGATCTTGCTCATGCATACAATCTCTATCCGGGATCCACAACACTTTTTGTCTCACCAAAAAGGTGATGTGAAAAAGGATAATACATACTACAGCTGGAAAAGATTTCAGTCATCTGATTGTACCCACACTTAACTAACTTCCTCTCCAAAGTATGACTGTTCTGAAAGTTACAACATCATGCATGTGACCATTGCAATCATTCTGATCACTCCTGCTAACAGATTCTGGTCAACAAATGTAATGAGATGCTATTTCTAACTCAATATTACAGCCTCAGTTGAGGCAATGATGCTTAGGTAATTAGATAACAATATCAGTTCATTTCTTGCAGGTCTTTTTGTTTCGGTTTTCCTACTCTTCAGTGGCTTTGTGATCTACCCATCCAATATCCCAACTTACTGGAAATGGCTCACCTATGCAAACCCAATTCACTGGGCAAATGTCTCATTCTGCAGGTTCCAGTTCGAGGGTTACACTGACTCATGCTCCAACTACCTAGGCCAACTTCCCTTCTGTGACCAGTTCCCAACAATGACAGTTGGAAAAGCCTATTTGGTCTACTTTGAGATTTCTGAAGACACCAAGAGACCATGGCTTCCCTATGCCATTCTTCTTGGTTGGACAGTAGCTGCCAACTTGTTAGCACTATTGGGCCTGAAGAAACTTGAGTTCACTGGGACAAACCAGTCCTTGCCGCATCTAAAAAAGGCCACCCCAGCAATAAGCAAATTTAAAGAAGATACAGAGAGTGAATTTCAGTCGATTGGTAGTTCCAATGGACATTATGATGATTACAGTTCTTCCATAGATTTTAGGCCACCCAATTCAGCATTAGCTCATGGAAAAATGAAGGACAATGGCGGAGTCAGAAAATGGATTGAAGAATTTCGTGTTGATCTCGAGAGGAATGGATTAGGAATTCCAGTCGAACCAGCAACCCTCTTATTCGAGGATCTGTCATTCACAAGGTGTGTTTTCCTATGGTCCTTGGCTATTGAAGTTTGAAATCAATTCACTAGTAAGCCCACAGGTTTCCAATTGCCCAGTAAGAACAAAGGTTTATTGTATTTGAGAAAGGAGAAATAGAAAACTGTACCAGCAGTACTCTTTGAAATTTTGAGATATTTTCTTGCTCAATGACTGGTGTTTAATGTCAACACACTGTATTTTCCATGCATCAGGTTTGATGAGGAAATGAAGGACAGTATATCAGTTTTCAAACACATCACAGGATATGCCAGACCTCAAAACATGCTAGCATTATTAGGTGGTTCCAAAACAGGTAAGGCAACACTCCTGAAATGTTTGGCTGGAAGATTACCTCTAAGTGCAAACCTCATCGGCAACCTCCAGGCAAATGGTATCAAACCTGGAACTACCTTCTTCAGATTAATAGGCTTTGTTGAGAAACTGGACGCCCACCAACCTTATCTCTCTGTGCGTGAATCCCTACAATTCAGTGCATCGCTTCGTCTTAGCCAAGAAATAGAAACCACAAGCCGCCGCATTCATGTTGAGCTGGTTCTTAATCAACTTGATTTAATGCCCTATGCCAACCAACTTGTTGGTTCCCTCCGTGATGCTACTGGAAAGACATTTGAAATAGCTAAAAAAATGACCATAGCAGTTGAGCTTGCCGCTAACCCAAGTATACTATTTCTTGAAGAACCCATATATGGCCTTGATAACAGAGGAACTTTGAATATACTCAATATTCTCTGTCGTCTGTCAGAGTCCGGACAGACCATTATTGCTACTCTTACACACGCTAATGCTCGTTCACTGTCCTTCTTTGACCAGGCTCTCATTCTGACACGAGAAGGGCACCAAGCATATTTTGGCCCAATAGGGTCTAACTGCAATGAATTGCTAGATTATTTTGCATCAATCCCAAACACCCGACAATATGTCCACAGCAAAAGTCCAGTTAGCTTTGTCATGGAGGCTCTTGGCCTAGGCATAAAAAATAGGGGTACTCCTGTGCAAAACTTTGCAAAGATCTACCAAGCTAGCCTCTTGCATGAGGCCAACAACCAAGAGATCAGTAGCATCAAGAAGTTGAAGAATTACAAGATATCAAAGCATCTATCATCCATCTATACAGCTTCATACCCACAGCAAGCAAGTTTGGTGCTGCTACGAACACAACGATTCTTATGGAGGAATGTACAATATACATATGGCAGACTAACAGGATGTGTTGTGATTGGTCTCCTAATGGGTTCCCTCTACTTTCAAATTGAATACAGAGACGTATACGGCGTGACATCACGATCACTTTACATATACATGCAAGTTATACTTATCGGGGTAATCTCAGCGAATAATGTCATTCCACAGATTGGAACAGACAGGCTAGTTTACTTCAGGGAGAAAAGGGCTGGAATGTATCTTCCCATATTTTATCCGATATCATGGGCAGTGGGAGAGATTCCATACTTCTTCATCACAACTCTTGTTGTGGTAGGAATCGGAAATGGGATGGCAGGAATTACAACAGACTCAGCAGCTAAATTCCTAATGTATTGGCTTGTGCTCTTCATGTTCACATTGTGTGTGACATATTTTGGAATGATGGTTACGTTCCTAGCACCAGTGCCAACAATCGCTGCATTCATTGTCTCAATTGTAACATCACTGTGGGTGTCAGCTTCTGGAGTAGTAGTTGTGCTACCGGATATAAAGTTCTACAAATGGATGTACTGGAGCAACCCATTCCAATATGCGATGAATTCAATGACCTCAATCAGTTTTTATTGCAATATGAAGGATTGCGGGTCAAATTGCAGGTGCCCACGCCTTCCAGATGGCTCTTATGTGTGGGATAGATTGGCAGAAGTGAGAGCCTTGAGCTATGCAAGGATGGACACGGACATGCTCACCTTGTCTGCAATGTGCATGTTGTTTGCCTGTCTTGCCTCTATCTTCTTTGTCATATTCAAGCACAACTCGACCCCTCGTCTGTAGAATACCAACATACATCTGGTGGATCTCAGAACCCAAAATGGGACACAATGGTGGAGCAAGCTGCACAGGTTGTCGACACTAGTGTACGACGAAGATTAACTGACCTATTCTAGGCCACCAAAGTCAGCTCTTTCTTGACCCCATTAGTCTTATTTTGTTATAAATAGCATAATACTGAGGATCATGCACAGAAAAATTAGTTATCACTATCTACAAAACTCTTATAAAAAGATTCTTAGGCATCTTGCTGATTCAAAGGTCAGAGTATTTTAAAATGTTGCAAGAAAATATAAATCAACAAGTTTCCCATGTTTCAGTTCTCCCAAACAGCCTACCTGGCTCAGAGGTATTACCTGCACCCCCTTCCCCCCCCCCCCCCCTTCTCCTGGCAGACCAACAGAACAAGCAAAACATAGGGGTCAGCAGGGATCGAATCCTGCTCCCTAAACCCCAAAAATTTTTATTAATTCTTTACCATTGAATACTTCGTGAGTTATTTTGTTTCCTAATTTTTACTTTGGTTAGCAGTTGCAACACTCAAACCCCCAACCTGCACCCTTCCGCTGTAGATGTCATGCCAACACATTTACCACTTTACTTCAACATCGGCAAGTTTATTTTCCAAAATGACCACCATATCATAATCCCCCTTTAATAGCAACGTCGTTAAGATAGAAGTTTATACCCAATCAGACAACTCACCACCCAAAAACTCCCATGTCATTTCTAAAGAATCAACAAATATCAGTGCCTAAGGAATTCACTACTCAAAATTCTTGCCCTAAGCCACGTCACAGCTGACATCAGAGAGGCAGAATGTCAAACTAATCAAGCCCTCAGAACAACTATCAATTTCTGCATGATCTCTGTTACTCTTGAATTCAGCCTTATCAACTTGTGTGTTTCTGGGTGGATGCCTTGTGGCTTTATACGCAAGTCCTAACTCAGCCTTATTCAGTCATTAACAAATCATTTAAGGAGAAACTTACCGGTAAATCTCCTGAAGTTAAAATAATTGCAAAACCCTCCATTGACTTTCTAAATTAAAACTTGCCCCCAAAAAAACAGTAAAAGCAAAAACAAAAAAGGTTTGCGGAATTATCGCATACCTCAGGAACGTTAATCCAGCACCATTTGTTCAACTAAGGTATATGACAGTCAAGACCAGAAAGTTTTCCCATTACGTTTGTTTCTTTTCGTTTTTTGATACTCGGCGGTTTTGTTCTTCCATGATTTTTCATTTGGAGAAGTGATGGCTATATATCCTTACTCAAAATAAAACAAGAACTTCAGTTTAGCTTCCTATATTTGCATCTCTATACACTTAACAGCAGCGTAATAGAGCGAAGTTCCATATTGGTAATTTGTTTTTGTTTAACATTCGCTCAATGGCACCAAGAATTGCAACAGATAGAAGTTTGCAGCTAAAGTATAAAGGTTCAAGAGAAAAGAAATAGACGAAGAGAGAGAGAGGGAAAATAATGTAACTACATGTACATACCCTACACTGTCACTTATTTATTTTTGAATGATATTGGAAGCAAGCAATATAAAAAGTGGAAATAATAGAAAATGTTTGGCTTGAACCAAAGACTACTGAATGTGGACCGAATCAATGATTTAGTAACAATATAACTAAGTTGATCATCAAACTTTACATTGTTAGTGATAATCTCCTTTTGCAATAAAAGAATCTAAATAAAATGACAATCAATTTCAATGCTTAGTACGACCAACAAAACTAGATTACTAGTAATGAAAGGAGATGTCTTGTCACAATTCATATGCATAAGAGACGGCACAACAATACTTACCTCTCAAATTAGAGAGCAAACCCATAACATCTGACGCCTATGAGACATGGCATGATATTCAACTTATGCACTAGAACATGCCACCACATTATTTTCTTTACTAGGCTAACATAGTACAATAACCAAAAGTAATCCTTTATCACTACAATTGTTTGCCCAGTCAACATTAGGAAAACCAATAAAATACATGGATGATCAAAATGCAAAAAAAGTTTCGATGACTTCAAAAATTCAGCAAAAATGCCAAAATTACCAGCATGGGGAGATGATTTAGATGGTAAATCTGGTAGTAGAAAGTTCTAATGTCATGATGACGTTAGCATCATAGTTATTAGTATAGTACGATACGCGATACGTATCGTACGATACACCTGAAAAACGATACGTATTATATCTTTGTATCGTTTTTGTATTATATCGTACGATACATGATACAATACTATACGATACGTCCGATATATGACGATTCTGTTTTTTTTTTTTTTTTGGGGCTAAAATGACATCGTTTTACCCTAAAACTTATTTTTAAATCATTAGTCAGTGAAACAACGTAGTTTTAGTGGTTGTGGTTTAAAAAAATAAATAAAGTATGTTGTTAATGTTATTCAATTGAGTTCAAAATTCCTGATTAATATTAAAGTTGTTCAAGCAGTTGATGTCAGCAGTTTGAATTAAAGGTCTTTGCATTTTGATATTACTGAATTATGTTGGGAACTTGAATAGTTTGTGCAATATTAATAAAATGCTATATTATTATGAGTCTCTATTATTTTTTACAAAGTTGTATATATATATATATATATATATATATATATATTATTAATAATTATTTAAAAATTAAATTATGCGTATCTTACGATACACTATTTTTGAAAAATAATACATCTTTCAATATGCAATTTGACAACTATGGTTAGCATATTGACAATGCCATCAACGGCCATAAGAGTAGAGTTTTCTCTTTGGATATCTTCTGCTTGATTTTTTGATGTTATTTTACTATAGATTGATGCCCTGATACCAACTAAAAACTTACAGTAATAGATTATTAGGGTGAGACAGAAGAAAAATAGGAAGAGAGATATTATTTATATCACAATGCATGCAGGATACTATGCCCTGCACCCTCGCACTTAAGATAGAATGATATTGGAAGCAAGCATTATATACCCCAAACCTACACTAGAACATTCAAACTAGTAGAAACTATAGAAGTCTAGAACTCTTGACACAACCTATGTACACCTCACATTTACTGGACTGTAGTTTTTCCTTGCAATTTTCAATACCGATCGAAGTTTTTCCTTGCAATTTTCAATACCTTATGGGAGTTGAGAGTAACTTTCATAAGATTATGGATATGAATATGCATATGTGCATAGTGTGCATGCATATATGTCGTTATCAATATATTGTCACCATGATATGTTCCATGTTTCCTTATTTAGTTAGAATCTGTATATATAGACCTTGTTTCCTTTTGTATAGGAAGATTTAATAGCTGTAATTTAGGCTTGATTCTAGCCTGATATATTGCACATTTGTGCCTATATAATAAGAGGAAATCCTCACGGAGGAGATATTGAATCCTATTGACATGGTATTAGAGCCAGGTTGCTAAGTTACGAACCCTTCTCGTGTGGTTTCTGTTTTTTTTTCTGTTCGGTGCCTTTGGGTCACGTTGGGCTCCCTCATCGGTGCTGTCTGGAGTCGTCTTTGGGGCTCCTTGGTATTTTCGACACTGTCTGAGTGTCTCTTGGGGCATTTCGACTCATTATGGGTGGGTTTTCTTGGTGGCGCACCTTCGGTTCTGAGTTTGTCAACAGTTTCTGGTGCTTGTTGAGTGTGTCGGCAATCTCTAGTGATTCCTTGGTGGTGGTTAATCTTCTCTAGGTAGTTGTCAACGATCCTTGGTTCGGGGTCTTCAACTTTTGGGGTGCCGAGCTTTGCACGTTTCTGGTCAGGTGTCATTACCAATTATTTTCTGAAATTGTTTATTTGTTTAAGGTGTCTACTGTTTCCGATTGTTCTTGGGCTGGTTATTAGCACTCTCTTTGTTGTTTAATTTGGGCCTTTTATTGGCCTTGTTGCTGTTTTGCAGTGCAAGTTAGGATTCTTTGTTTAAATTTGGCCATCATGTCTTCTAATTCTTTTGTGGTAAAATTCACGGGGTAAGAATTGTTCTGCCTAGGAATTTCAATTTCGTTTATTTGTTATGGGGAAAAAGTTATGGGGTCACATTGATGGGAGTGATCAGGCTCCAACTGATGTTCCTAAACTGGCTCAGTGGCAAACCAAAGATGCTCGGGTGATGACATGGATTTTTGGATCAGTGGATCCTCTTATTGTTCTTAATCTGAGGCCATATAAGACTGCTAAATCTATGTGGGAATACTTTTTAAGTATATAATCAAGACAATACTGCTCAACGTTCTCAATTAAAGTACGAGATTGCTAGTTATACTCAGGGCGATCTCTTCATTCAGGATTATTTTTCTGGATTTAATAATCTCTGGGGATAATTTACTGACATTATTTATGCCAAAGTACCAGAAGCATCTCTCTCAGTTGTGCAAGAAATTCACGCGCAAAGCAAGCGCGATCAGTTTTTAATGAAGTTACGACCTGAATTTGAAGCCACTCGTTCTAATTTGATGAATCGTAATCCCGTGCCATCTTTGGATATTTGTTTTGGGAAATTACTTCGTGAGGAGCAGCGGCTTGCTACTCAGGCCACTTATCAGCACGACAAAATGATACCTAATGCAGTGGCTTATGCTGCTCAAGGAAAAGGCAAGGGACGAGACATACGGAAAGTTCAATGCTTTAGTTGCAAGGAATACAGAAATATTGTTACCAACTGTACACGAAAATCTTGTAACTACTGTAAGAAGCCAGGGCATATTATCAAAGAGTGTCCTACTCGTCCCCAGAATCGTCAAGCTAATGCTTATCAGGCTACTGTGGATTATGTTTCTTCTGCTACTACTAGTGACTCCTCTGCTCTTACTACTGAAAAGGTACAACAGATGATTATTTCCGTATTTTCAGCCTTAGGACTATAAGGTAACGGTTCCTTTTTCCCTTCATGGATTATTGATTCGGGTGCATCTAATCAATGACTAGTTCTTCTGATACTCTTAGCAATGTTCGAACTTATACTAGCTCGACACACATTCAGATTGCTAACAGTAGTCAATTACCTATTCATGCTATTGGGGATGTTGATTCCACTATTAGAGATGTTTTTGTATCTCCTCAGCTTTCTACCAGTCTTATTTCAGTTGGGCAATTGGTTGATAATAACTGTGATGTTCATTTTTCTCGTGATGGTTGTTGTCTTGTGCAGGATCGAGTGTCGGGCAAGATACTTACGAAGGGGCCTAAAGTTGGACATTTATTTTCTATGCATTTTTCCATTCCTGCTGTTATTTCGTTAGCTTGTAACACTGTGAACAATAAGTGTGAAGTATGGCACAAACGGTTGGGTCATCCAAATTCTATTATTTTATCTCCTGTAATAAATTCTCATTTGTTGGGCAATAAAGATCAATTTTCTTCTCCTCTCTCTTTTGATTGTTCCACATGCAAATTAGGTAAAAGTAAGTCTCTTTCTTTTCCTTCTCATGGTAGTCATGCTGAACGTTGTTTTGATTTGATTCATAGTGATGTGTGGGGAATTTCCCCAGTTATCTCACATGCATATTATAAATACTTTGTTACATTCATCGATGATTATACAAAGTATACCTGGATCTATTTTCTTCGTGCTAAATCTGAGGTCTTATCTATTTTTCAACAATTCCCTGCCTATGTTGAGACTCAATTTTCTATTGGCATTAAAATTCTGAGGTCTGATTCCGGTGGTGAATAAATGTCTCGTGAGTCTCATAATTTTCTCCAACAAAAAAGTATTGTTTCTCGGCGTTCTTGTCCATATACACCTCAACAAAATGGTGTTGTTGAACGTAAAAATAGACATTTGTTGGATGTTGTTCGTACTCTATTGCTTCAATCATCTGTTCCACCTAAATTATGGGTTGAAGCATTATCTACGACGGTTTATTTAATTAATAGATTGTCGTCCAGTGTATTAAATTTTGAAACTCCTTACTTTCGTCTTTATCATCAGCATCCTAGATATCTCGACATGCATACTTTTGGTTGTGTTTATTTTATTCATTTGCTTTCTCATGAACGACATAAGTTATCTGCTCAATCTGTTAGATGCCCATTTATGGGTTATAGTACTTCACACAAAGGCTATGTTTGCTATGATCCATGCTCTAACCGACTTCATATTTCCCGTCATGTTGTGTTCTTTGAAAATCAGTCATTATTTCCTTCTCATGATGAGTATTTGCCTGAGATGCATGTTTTGCCTCATTTTGATGACTTGACTCCTTCTGTTGATCGATTCAAATCTGGACTTATATATGAAAGACAACGAACTACTTTGCCCCTTCCTGAGCCTAGTCCGTCATCTGAGCCTGTTCAAACTGAATCCTCTATTGGTGATCCGGATATTACCTCAGTTCCTCGCAGCTCGACCAGGGTGTCTCGTCCGCCGGACCGGTATGGTTTCTCTCATACCTCTTTCCATGTTGTTCTGTCCTCTATTCCCATTCCATCAAGTTATTTTGAGGCAACTAAACATGCCTGTTGGCGTGCGTAGTGTTATTTAAGGCGTAAAGCGAACCGAAGCGACCAAGGCTCCTAACGCCTAGGCGAGAAGCGAGAAGCGAGAAGCGAAGCGACACGCCTTACCGAAGCAAAGCGAACAGTTAAAAAAAAATATATTTTAGTTTAATTACTTCTAAACAATCTAAGTTCTAATTTTATATATACTAAATATTTAAATGCAAGTAAAACCATAAACATTTAAATTAAAACAAACACTAATAATTTCTCAAATCTTAATAACAGTCATAACTTAAACATTTAAATTCAAACAAATACTAAAAATTGTATACATTTTCATATTGACAGAATAGCACAATAAAAGAAGCAGAATGAGGATAAAAAAAAACAAAAGCAACACAGGACAGCAAAACCGAAGCAGCAACAGAATCAACAAAAAAAAATAGAAGCAGAATGAGCTAAAAAAAAAACAGAAGCACAATGATCATGACAGGAGCAGAATCAATTAAAAACAATTTCATATGTAATTATATACTGAATAAAAAAAAGCAGAACAGAAACACATTTCACATGTACTAAAATAATTAAACATGGTATAAGCATAGACCACTTTTTGGTACCATTTGTATATACATAAGAAAAGGAAAAATTATAACCAAGACATATCAGAGACACTTCTTTATAGAAGAATCTATTATTTACCCTCATTCCTGATACTCCTGCTTCCTTTTTTTATCATAATTGTCATGCAGTCGCCTGACTCTCACATCCCACAAATATTCTAAATGAATTCAGCAACACAAGAAAAAAAAATGAATATGTTTTGTTCGAAACATTGTTTATTAGAAAAAAAAAAAAAAAAGACTAGCAATAGTCTAAAAAAAAAGTCATTAGTGATTAAAAAATAAAAGAGACTACTAACCTGTAATCAGAAAAAAAAAAAAAAAAAGTGAAGCAGAATCGCCTTTTATAATAAAGCGTTCGATTTTTCGCTTTTGTCGCTTCTTCGCTTTTTCTCGCTTTTTTCTCGATTCGCTCACGTTCGCTTCGCCTGGGGTCCTCCAGGCGAGATAAGCTCGCCTCGCCTCGCTTCTCGCCTAGGCGAGCTTTTCAAAACACTGGACGTGCGGCGATGGCCAAGGAACTTCGGGCTCTTCAGGATAATTATACATGTGATGTTGTCCCTTGTCCTCCTCAAGTGAAAGCTATTGGTTGCAAATGGGTCTATTCTATCAAGCTACGTTCTGATGGAACTCTAGATCGGTATAAGGCCCGATTGGTTGCACTTGGCAATAGACAAGAATATGGGGTGGACTATGAGGAGACTTTTGCTCCAGTTGTCGAGATGACTACGATGCGGACTGTCCTGCCTATTGTTGCATCCCTAGGTTGGCCTCTTCATCAAATAGATGTCAAAAATGTCTTTCTTCATGGTGATCTCAAAGAAGAGATATACATGACCATTCCACCTGCTTTGTCCTCCTCTTTTTCCTCGGATGTCTGTAAGTTGAAACAATCTTTGAATGGGCTGAAACAAGCTCCCCGGTCTTGGTTTGATAAATTTCGCTCTACTTTGCTTCAATTTTCGTTTCAGCAAAGTGCATATGATTCTTCTTTATTTTTCCGCAAGACATCTCTTGGCATTATCCTTCTTCTAGTTTATGTTGATGATATTGTTATTACTGGAACGGACTCTAGCTTGATCACCCGACTGCAGCAGCATCTTCAAGCCTCATTTCATGTGAAGGACCTACTTACTTCTTAGGCTTGGAAGTTTATACTAATTCCTCTGGCATTTTTTTGAATCAACATAAATATACTCAGGATCTGATTGCATTGGCTGGTCTTCAGGATACTTCTTCTGTGGATACTCCTATGGAAGTAAACACAAAGTATCGTCGGGAAGAGGGTGATCTCCTTTCCGACCCTACTATATATCGACAGTTAGTAGGGAGCCTGAACTACTTAACCATTACTCGACCTAATATTTCTTTTGCAGTACAGCAAGTTAGTCAGTTCATGCAAGCTCCACGTCATCTCCACTTAGCTGTCGTTTGTCGTATCATTCGATATCTTCGAGGTTCCCCTAGTCGTGGTCTATTCTTCCCTACTGGGACTCCTCTTCAGCTTGTGGCTTACAGTGATGCAGATTGGGCAAGTTGCCCTGATACGCGACGATTTGTTACAGGTTGGTGCATGTTTCTTGGTGACTCTTTTGATATCTTGGAAGAGTAAGAAACAAAATCGTGTCTCCAAATCTTCCACCGAATCGGAATACCGTGCGATGTCTGCTGCTTGTTCTGAGATTCTTTAGTTTCGTGGACTCCTTGCTGAGATTGGTTTTGTTCAGTCAGATCCTACTCCTCTACATGCTGACAACACTAATGCCATTCAGATTTCTGTCAATCCCGTTTTTCATGAACGTACCAAACACATTGAGGTGGACTGTCATTCAATTCGGGAAGTATTGGACACTCGTATCATTTCTCTTCCTCATATTTCTACTGACCTCCAGATTGCAGATGTGTTTACAAAGGCCATGACACGACGACGTCATCAATTTCTTGTGGGCAAATTGATGCTTCTTGACCGACAACATCAATTTGAGGGGGGATGTCACCATGATACGCTCCATGTTTCCTTATTTAGTTAGAATCTGTATATATAGACATAGTTTCCTTTTGTATAGAAAGATTTAATAGTTGTAATTTAGGCTTGATTCTAGCCTGATATATTGCACATTTGTGCCTATATAATAAGAGGAAATCCTCACAGGGGAGATATTGAGTCCTATTGACATATATGCCCCTGGTTTTCCCAAGAATGGGCTCATGGACATGTCAGCTGTCCTAACATGCTCTTTTATTAAATTACTTGTAATATATAGGAGAATTCTCATCAGCAAAAATAACAAAGTGGGCGTCCTAAGGTTGACAACAACATTGCAATGCTATTTGTGGTTTGAAAAAATATATTAGAATGCAATGTGACACAAAAGAACAAGAACACACTTAGACTCGCATAAATAGTGTCATCTACATGTTCAACTTTGCCTGAAGTATACACAAGCGGCCCAAGTCCATAAAAACCCATATCATATGCACCAGAATAAAATCAATCATGTCAGGAACAGCTGTTGGGGACTAAATATAACCAAAAAAAAAACGATTTTGACTTAAAATGCTGGCACAAGAGAAGAAATTCTCAATGAAATGGTAGACCTATCCCCAGTCAATGAATGGAAGAGGCGGATATCCACCCTCTGGAGGAGGCTTCAATGACGGAGGTAGATTGCCCAGTGACATTCTCATGTTGTCTCTGATCATATCACCTGCTATCAAAAGGAAGAGAAGAAGTATGAATGAAATAAATAGATGAACAGAACAATTATCTCCTCGAAAAGATTCACTCAAAAAAATCCACAACTATTATTTAAGAACTACAGATACCAACTGATGAATATATGTGACATTTGCAAAATAGTGACATCTAAGGAATTGCCCTTCTGTACAGGTGATAGGGGTATAGTTTGAAATACAGTTTTTTAGAACAAATAATTGAAACCAACGGCAATAGCAATACATGCCTGGCAAAGAAACTCCCCCACCTAGCTGACTCCCCTGGATACTTGATGACTGCATATTGTCTGCCAATGGTATCACCAACTTATATGTGAGGAAATGACTCATCATTCGGCTTCGCTTAACATTAAACAACTTAATTCTAGCATGATCAAATTGCCAATCAATTGTTTTTTTTATTTCCCAACTATCCTTGATTCATACACAATTTCTCCAAAATTGGCAATTTCACATACACGGGATGCACACCTAGGATCATCAACCATAATAATTTATGTCCATCACATCACAAACAGAAAATAGAGCATAACTTCAAACCATAAAATGCAAAAGATTATAAGAAATCAAATAGAAAAATAATGGTTGAGGGACAAAATTTAACTGACATACTTTGAGAATTCATACCCTGGAAGTTTTGCTTTGGATGATAATATTTACAAGAATCACCATACTGACATGAACCCTTCAAGCAGGCAAAGGAAATAGCCAATAAGACAATCCAATCCATAATTAGTCACAAATAAAAACTCCACCTCAATAATTCTGAGTGTGTATCTTCTCTGTGTGTGTGTGTGTGTGTGTGTGTGTGTGTGTGTGAGAGAGAGAGAGAGAGAGAGAGAGAGAAAGAGGAGGGAGGGTATCAAAAGAGAGTGGTACCGTTCGTACGAACCGATTGCAAACTCCTTTCCCAAAGGAATCTGGATTAAGCTGATTCGGATCTGATACGGCAAATATGAAAATAGTTGGGCATAGATTGATGTGATTGAGAGAGAGATATTCAAATACAAATGTAGAAATGAAGGTTTGAAGAGAATGGAGAAGAAGAGTCAGTACATTAAAGTACCTCGGAAGGAATCGTACCATTGAGCTTTGGCTCTCTGGTGTTGTACACCCTGGAGATGACGCTTACGAGCGCCTGCTGTGTCTTGGAATTGTTTGTCGCAGTAGTCACAGTAATATTTTCCCAGCGGCATTTCCTCCCCCTCTCTCTCCCTCTCAAAGTCTCACCCGACGGATGGAACTGGCAATTCTAATACAACGTAACCACCAAAACCTTCATTAAATTAAATCTATAATAAAAATCTATACCCCTGTCAAAAAACTGCAAAGACCATTATATCCTTCAATAATTAAATATTTAAATTATTATTATATTCTCATGTATTTAAAATTTTTAAATTATCTATAATATCTATTTTAGTGATCTATTTCCCAATTTTAAGTATCAATTTCAATAAAAAAATTTAATTAACTATATTACCCTTAAAAATATACACACCATTAAATTTTTTAATAAAGTGTTAAAAAATCTTTTAAAATCCCTATCAATCTAACATTATTCATTATATATACAAAGATAACATTATGCTTACACACACAAAATTTTCACAAAAAAAGTTTAACCATTTTATTTTTAGGATAAAAAATAATCATATACATAATTTTTTAAAATCAATTTATGTTACATCAACATAATTCTTCAGTTATATTAAACTTTTTTGTGAACATAGATTGTAATGTACTAGTCAGGTATATTAAATTTTATTCAAATATACATGACTAATTCCTAATTACAGTAAAGTTCAAAATATGAATAGTATATTGACTATTATTTTTACTTTATTCCATGAATTATAAGAACAATCCTACTCTAATGAATGCCAAAAAAAAATATTTTTCAAACAGCACAAAAAATCACTCTCAATTATAAAATTTTAAAAAAATAGAACTCTAAGTATTTTTTAATCTTTTTTCTTATAATTGGAACAATAAATCTTGGAAATATACAAAGCTTTTATAATTATATAATAAAATATGAGCGATAAAAAAATAAGTTTGATAAATTTAATATGATATTTTTGGGAAAGTAAATTTAATATGATATTTAATTCAAGTATACATATACCTAAAATTTTTTATTAATTTTTGCGTACGAAAATTATTCACGTGCAATGCACATGGTGTATTATTAGTTATAAAAACAAGACCAATGATTAACCCTAATTAGTGCGTAAACTATAATAATTAAGTAATTAACTTTGTAAGATAAAACAACCAAAAATTATCAATTAGGAGTAATTATAATTTGTGTGAAAATTAAAGCTTTAAATACTTTATGTTTAAATTTTAGGGTTTAATGCAGAAATATCAGAGAATACGAGTCAATTTTGCAAAAATTGAAACAACAAAGGAGCAAAGTGTAATATAGACACATGCAACATCCAACACGTGACACATGGATCAACTGTAAGGCACCTTGAAGCTTAAGAACAAGACACTTGTAAATCTCCTACAAGGCAACATCATCCGGATGGTGATCCTAGAGTTCGGATGGTCATTAGGTGGCAAAACTTTACTTCTCCACCTCAGCCTTACTTTCCACCTCATGCTCGCCTTTTGTCTATAAATAGGGTACTCTTTCTTCATTCCAAGGAGGCCGGCCATCCAAGAGCCAAGGGAGAGTTCCAAAGAAAGAAAGAAAAAAAGATAAAGATAAAGTCAGGAGGTCTGTCCTACACCAAAACTTTGTAATTCTACATTTCTGTTACATCTTTGCATTCAGTTAGCTGAACTACTACCACCTTTTTGTCTTAATTGATAGTAAAAATGGTTGTATTTCAGTTATTCCTTGCGAAAGACACATCAGTCTTTTATTTACTGTTGTAATGAAACCTACCTGCACTCCTCGCTTGTCTGTAGCGATGGGGTGTGAGTAATTACTTATACCCTTCAGTAAAGGGTGAACATATGTATAATATTGGTTAGATTCTGGAAATGCTGATGTTTATTTATATCTTTATCTATATATGTATTATAAGCTTCATGCATGATACAGTGATGTGCGTAGTTTCGGTGCTGTGCTTTGAATTATGTCATCAGTGCATCATTAACCTGCCGGTAAAACAACCACGACTTTTCTATCGGTATGAATAGTCCTCCACCAGAATGCTGAAAATGTTCTACTGTAGCATGCTATAACTATCAGATTAATGACCTAAGTGATCCTCATGAATAACTTATCCTTCTGGATTACTTAGATCGTTTAACTGGTATAAATGATAATATTCTCAATCGAACAACCACGACATTCCTATTGGTATGGTTTATCCTCCACTAAAACGCTGAGGATGTTTAACTGGTACATATGTATCACAGATGAAGTCAAATGAATAATTCAAGTATTTTCTCATGAATGACTTGTCCTTCTGGTTTGCTTGGATTAATCATTTAATATATCTATAACCAGCTAACCTAAGAAGTTGTTGTGTTATCACTTAATATCACCAGTTAACCTAAGAAGTGGTTGTGTTATGGTTTATTATATATATGCACCTATTATTATAGAGTCAATTGAGTAATTCAAGTATTTCTCATGAATGGTTTATACTTCTGATTTGCTTGGATTAATCAATTGACATATATATCACCAGTTAACATAAGAAGTTGTTGTGTGATGGTCTATATACATCAGACCTACCGGTTGACTTGCCAGTAAAATAGGAGTTAATTGTTGTAAGGTAGCATTTCCAGTACTTAACCAATATAAAGCATATGAAATCCTTAAACTGAAGCGTATCTTTTATATTCACGTCATTATTACGCTTACTTGCATATTTTATTTAATTAAACTAATTGTTAATCTAAGCTCACAACACAAGTTATCAAATGATACACTACTTCAAACAACAACTTTGCTGTTTTTATCAACTTTGCTGTTTTTATTTTAAAATCTAAATTACTAAAAATCTTCGTGGGATCAATATTTGGACTTACATCGAAAAAATTATAATTTGACCACTTATACTTGGTGTATAATATAATATAAATTAGATCACGAAATGGTGCGAATCAAGTTTTTGGCGTCGTTGCTGGGGAGTTACGGTAATTAAAAAAAAATTCTTTAGTTGTATAGTATACTTTGTTTGTGTGTTGTTTATAGTCTATGCTTATTCATTCGTCAGTAGGTTCTATAAATCCGTCATCACCCTTATCTTCTTCATCTTCATCTACACAAGAATCCTTTGAACTAAGTATGGCTAGAAACGTACCAATGGAAGAACAACCTAGAGAACAAGAGGTAGTTCAAAATGTCCGACCATGAAGAGAATATATACATTCTATAAGAACTAATGTCCCATCATGTTTTACTTTTCCAACAGACGCTCCAAATATTAAAATTAAACCAGGAACAAAACAGTTACTACCATAGTTCCATGGTTTAGAAACTGAAAACCCCTATGTTAATATGAAAGAAATTGAAGAAGTCTGTGGAACTTTGCAAGATAATTCTGATATAGTCAGATTAAATCTTTTTCCTTTTTCTTTGAAAGATAAAGCTAAACTATGACTTAACTCTTTAAGGGCAAATTCAATCACAAACTGGCAAGCTTTACAAGTTGAGTTCTTTAAAAAAAAATTCCTGTGCATCGTATAAATACATTAAGATGTCAAATAATGAACTTTTCTGTAAAAGAAAGTGAAACTTTTTATCAATGTTGGGAAAGATTTAAAGATCTTCTCCAAGCTTGTCCACATCATACATTTAAAAACTGAACCTTGGTTTTTTTTTTTATGATGCTCTCTCACATGCAATGCGACAATTTGTTGAAATGATGGCACAATGAGAGTTTATGAATAAAGACCCTGAAGAAGCATTTCAATTTTTTGATACTATTTCAGAAAGTTCCCAGATATGGGACTCAACTTCTTCAACTATTATGGAAAATAAGTCATCTACATCTGAAAGAGGATAATATATTTTGAAAGATGATAATGATTTAAGAGCTAAAATGACTAATTTATCTCAAAAATTAGAAGCCTTAGAAATGAAAAAAATTAAGCAAGTATCTGTTGTATCAACTACTGATCAAGTATGTAAAATTTGTGCATTGTCAAGACATGCTACTGGGGAATGTCCAACTATACTTGCATTCAAAGAAGTATCAATTGAACAATCTAATATTGTTCCAACTTATAATAATAAGCCTTATATGAATCCATACTCTGAAACTTACAATCCAAGATGGAGAAATTATCCGAATTTTAGTTGGAGAAATACATAACTCAGAAATCAAACACAAGATCTACCACAGTTACAAAATCAACAACAATATCAGTCATATCAACCTCCTTAGAAAAGAACTCTGGAAGATACTATGAATCAATTTATTCAAAGTCAAATAAGTTTTAATACTCAAACATTTAATGATTTTAAAGCTCAAACTTCACAGAGTATTGAAGATATTAAAAGTCATCTAGCTAAATTAACCCAGTCTTTGAGTACTTCGGAGAAAGGAAAGTTTTCATCTCAACCTAAACCTTCACAAAGTCAGAGTCAAGCTAATGCTATATCATTTGAATCTTTTCCAAGTCAGGTACAAGCGATCACAACACTAAGAAGTGGAAAAGTCATTGACAAAACTATTAAACCTAAAATTTCAAAGAAAATACGGAAGGAAATTTCTGTTAATAAACCACTTGAACCTGAACCTTCAATTAAAAAGCAACCAGAAATACAAAATAAAAAAGATCTTCCATGTCCTATTCCTTTACCTTTTCCTCAAATGGTCAAAAAAATTTCATCTGAAAAAGATCAATCGGACATTCTTGAGTTATTTAAACAAGTAAATATCAACATTCATTTGTTGGATGCAATAAAACGAGTTCCGATTTATGCCAAATTTTTAAAAGATCTTTGCACAATAAAAAGAAGAACTAATGTACCAAAAAAAAGCATTTTCAACTGAACAAGTTAATACTATAATATAACATGATACACTTCTTAAGTACAAAGATCCAGGTAGTCCTATAGTCTCATGTCTAATTGAAAATTTTTGAATTGAACAAGCTCTGCTAGATCTTGGATTCAGTTGTAATTTAATGTCATATTTAGTATACACACAATTAAGATTAAGTGAACTAAAACCTAGCAATATTACACTACAACTAGCAGACTGTTTAATAAAAATTTCACGAGGAACTGTGGAAGATGTTATTGTCCA